CCCCCCACCCCACCCCAACACACACATTTCCTAGTGGAACTGAGAATATAAACTGGAAGGAAACTTTTGATGTTACCAAAAACGTTGCTTTTAGTAGACAATAAAAGTTTGAAAGAGAGAATACAAATGAAATAACTTGTGTTGGTTAAGTTGTATTGCTGTTTGTGTTTCAGTGTACTGTATTGCTCTGGTTAAGTGTGCAATCCTACTCAGTCTTATATAGCACTTGTTTGGTAGAAATTTTAAGTCAATTAAAATTAATTTTTTAGCCGTTATTTTACTATTCCAATATATTTCGAGTATTTTTCAAATGGAACCATTTTGGTCTTCATAATTATTAAGCCAAACCCAAACCCTAAACATTGATTTTGCGTTGGGTTCCATTACACCAAAAACATTTTTTATATACATATAATTTTTCTACTCTCAAAAGGAACTAACTTGAAAAATAGGAAAAATTGCAGCAACAATCCCTAACCTTTTCAATTTTTACAAACTTTACTCTAACTTTCAATTTATACCAATGAGCGTCCCTTACTTTTTAGAAATATGCAGCTGGGGTCCAAAAAGCCGATGGATCTACCTTCCATTTCTTCCCCACTCCCACCCAAGCTGGTGGTAGAAATCACCCAAAGGTCGACCGCCACTACCACATCACAATGTCGGCGCAGTCCCTCGAAGGCCGGTGCCACCACTCAAGTCAAATTTTTATTTCATAAATCTGTTGAAGCATTATAATAGTTTTGATTTTTATTTTTTCCATTTTATGATATTCAATTGTGGTTGTGTTGGGATTTGACCATCAATAATGATGGTGGCGATTGGTGGAGATTCGATTTTTAGATCTTTGTTGTTGATTTTGGGGTTTGTCGACTTCGAAATCGACAATGAACAATGGGATTTTGCTGGGTTTCAAAATTGCAGAGGATTTGACAATCGTTCACTCTTGGTTGTGGGTTTTCATTGTAGAGGTTGTTAGTGGTTTGAGAAGGTGGTGGTGGTATCGATTGAGGTGTGGTATTATGTGGGTGGCGACGATGGTCGCCGTTCAACGGTAGGTTTGATTTTCGAGTATGGTGTGAGTTTGCTTGATTTATTTTCAAATGTAATAGCAAATGTGAAATGGGCTGGAAGGTGGTGGTAGAGGGTGCCGAAACTGGTAGTGAGTGGTGGCGAGAGAAGTTGTGAAGACGATGGTGATAGTGTAGGTCGAAGGTGGCGATGATAACTATTTCTGATAGGTCTTGTCAAAGAAAAAGAAGAGTGGTAGTTTTGACTTTTTTTTTTTTTTTGATATCCAGGTATCCCAACTTACACTAGACTAAATCCGAAACCCCCAAGACCCTTGCCCCTAGAACCTTGGAGATGGTAAATCGTGGGTTATGCCTCAAATGGATCACAGGTTCCCCCCACCACCTGTACACTTCTGCACACAAGAGATTCTCCTCCAAAGTGATTGCTTCATACCAAAAAAATTTGGCCGCAAGTTCCCACCAGGCAGTTTTGATTTTTTTTTGGGGGGAGGGGGGGGAGTGTAAGATGAGTTTATTTTTGTTTTTTATTTTATTTTTTCTAATTTAACTAAATTACCATTTTGCCTTTACCAAATTTAGTCAAAATCAATTTTTTTTTGTTAACTAACAGTCAAATAAATGGTTTACATGAGTTTGGACCCCAGCTACATATTTATGAAAGATTAGGAATGTTCGTTGATACAAATTAAATGTTATAATAAAATCTGAAAAATTAAAAAAGTTAGGGACAGCTACTACAATTTTCCCTAAAATATATTGATTTGATACATAACTATATACTGTCAAGAAATTATAGTTCACATATTAAACTCTCCATGTTTGAATAAAAAATGAACAAAAATTTATATTTCAAAAGGGAACCACAAACCAAAAAGGTATATCATATATAATTCAATTGTTACGCATTATAAAAAATTAAGAAAAAAAATTTAATTAAGTTTACAGACAATGCAAGAAAGTAAAAAACTTGAATTCAAAAAATAAACACTTTAATTGATGAACTTACATCACAGCCTAATTTGAACCTTTTTATTCATAAAAAGTAAAAAATTACAAATATTAATATGTACTGACAGCAGAAATGCAACAATCTAGAGCTAGAGGCAAAAAGTAGGAGCCAGTCTTATTTTTCGAATTAAAGTCAAGGCTTTAAGATTAATACTGCACAAATTCGAGTTTTTAGGTTTCATACTTTCTTTTACCCAGCTTATAAATTTTAAATAAAAATTTATATAAAAAATTGGTTCTATTGAGATACTCATGGTTCTAGTTTAGGAACTAAAAATTGAACCGAATCGAACCCAGCTGGTTATCAGTTCTGGTTCCAATTCCTAATTTATTTTTTTGGGAATCGGACCAGAACTTTTGATTTCAATTCAGGAGGTTTAATTCCAGTTAAAATGCCCAAACCTACATAAAATTTTACGGCTTATTATAAGTGATCCACTTCAATAAATCACAAATATAACATCTATAATCCTTCGAGTCTTTTAACCTTACATATATATACAAATAAAATTGGGCATGTGAAAAATAGGTCAATATGAAAAAATGAAGAAAAACCTAAGATAAAGTGAGACTCAACGCGAACATCGCTTTCCCCCACTATGAGTCTATGGGAGGATCATTTGTATCCCACTAAGAGAGGATAATATGTACTATCCACCACTGTATGGGATGACTCTCCCACAATCCTTAAGAACAAACAAAAATATTCCATGAATAATAAATTGAACAGAAACTACTTTAAATCAATAATACGTTATAATCAACTTGAAAGGATGAAAATGTCACACCAATACTTTACGATTTTGTTTTTCAAGTTTTGCAAATGGCTATCTCTGAAATGCACAAAATTAATATGGTAAAACATGC